CCCCCAAAACCAAAGTTAAATTGGTTTGGAGGTATTACAGTGTTGGTCAATAGCTTTTTTATCTGAATTTTGAAATTTGCAGTTTCCAAACAAATCTCCTCGAAATAGAATTTGTGCACGACATGCTTATGGAAAGAGGACCAGATAAGAGTGCTTAGAAAAAGGTGCATTAGATGGTATAATATCAAGAGGTATCAGTTGAATTTATCTACCATTGCAGAAGAATCTTTCCCCGACTCCAGCTCACAAGTCTCGCCCTGCAAGTGCTTTTCAGGTTAGTGGTTATAATAGAGAACCAAACCTATGTTCACCATAAAGCAAGAGGGAACATATTATTTTTATGCTACAAGGTAGTCATCTTAAAACTGAAAGAAAGCAAAAGCTTCCCACCTGCAGATTCCATATTAGAATATGGGCAAATATGTGACTCCTTTGAGTAGCTCGGAGCAAGTATCTTTCTACTAATTTCTGCATGGGTTAAAATCACATGACTAGCGTCAGTAAGATCTGTTATATGCAAGATGATAAAGTATCTTTTGCCATTGATGCACACAACAGATGGGCAGTTGAGACACAAGGAAATTATTATGAAAACTACTTCGAGATGAAAAGCCATTGTGACATCTACTAATTAATTCTGTTCATTTTGCCTACAGGTAAACAGAATCATTCACTCATATTTATGATAACCATAAAATTGTTGTTCATGAAAGAATAATAATATCTGTATACTGACAAGAATGCTAAATCCAAGTGTGAACTATGTAAAAACATTGAAGTAATGAATTAACTTCTGAGGTTACGTGTGTTAGACTTGCTGGCCAGATGATCAAAAGCCAAAAAACAAGTTCACATACAAAGTCCAGTAAAACACACCTCGCCATCATATCTCAGAGCCTGCACCAATTGGGGCATGAAGAAAGTTACTCTTTGAGGAGGATAAGACTCCAACACCCTTAGAACATAAGCCATGACGCGTGGATGACCCTTGTATGCTGGTGTGAGGAACTCTAGCGCCTGGGTAATTGAACAAGCAGCCCAGTGTGGCAATTGTTGTAAAAGAGTTGAATTTTCATCAATAGCTTTAGGTGTAACAAAGTATGGCAATGCTTCAGGTATGTGACGTATCTCCAATATATGCGAC